CAGGACACCTTCCAAAATGCCCAGAATGCAGTGAAAAACAGTAAAAAAATGAACTATTTCAGACATTTTGAGAGAAATAGAGAGAGCAGAAGCAGAGAGAGTATGTGTTGAGATGACCTGTCTTTTTTTTTTTTTTTTTTTTTTGTGGTGTTTGATGTGTTCCGGCTCATTTCTGTGCAGAAATTATTGCAGCAGTGTCCAACATATTTTCTTTCATGCGAAGCCTCAAAGTATGGTGTACCGGGTCCATCTGAGTACCGGGAAAACGCTTTGCGTGCATTTTTCATGATGAAAAAAAAGGCTCTGGACAGCATCTGAAAATGGAAGAGTTAAAAAAAAAAATTTCCAAACGCTTATAAACACGGTTAGACACGTTTACAAGCGTTTGGAACGCTGATAAAATCTACTCCTGAATGCAAGCTTGTTGCATTCAAAAAAACGACTGTAAACTCAACTGCCTGTAAACGACAATAGTGTACACGGACACATAGGAGAACATTAGGGAGAGTTCAGGGCTGCTGAAAAAAACGCAGAAAAGCTCCTGAACGTCCGTTTATCAGCTGCAGTGTAGTCCTTGCTCTTCCATATTTTTTTATTGTTTTAAATAGAGCGATTTGGAGATGAAGTACTCAGAAGAGCTCTGTATATAACTCCATCTCACTGCCTTAAGGCCCTTTTCAGATGGGGTGGAGTCCGCTTGCTCATCAGGGGGATTTGTCCGCTGATCTCCTGCTGAGCTGAGCAGAGCAGAGCGGGTTGATGACAGGTCAGTTTATGCAGAGCGGACCTGAACACAGCCGAGCTGGGACTAAACAAACTCCCCTGTCTGTTTACACCTGACTGTCCTCCGATCCAATCTGCCTAAACCAGGGGTACGCAACTTTAACCTCCCTAGCGGTAATCCCGAGTGTAGCTCGGGGTAAAATTTCAATACCAAGAGCAGTAACCCCGAGCTACACTCGAGCTTACCATGCGGCGTTGCTCAGGGAGTCCCTGCAGCACTTACCTTGTCCTTCGCTCCCGCGATGTGTCCCCGGCAGCGTCCCCAGCCATCTCCTCCGGCCGATGCCGGCATCCGGCTTCTGTGTTCCGGTCCCTGTGACGTTGGGACATACGGGCGCCGGAACTGGCGGCAAATTTGAAATTTTTTTTAAAAAATTTCATTTTTTTAAAAAATGATTATTACATAGTAAAACATTGCTGTTTCAATGCATTTCACATACATTTTGTCCCTAGTGCTTTGTCTGGCGCCCTGTCTGCATTTTGACTGTTCTTTCTGCCTGGAAACTTAGAAAAGTCCATGGCGTCCAAAAAGCGTCCCTTTATGTCAAAAACGGTTTTAGACCGGCTAGAGAACAGCGATAGTAAATCAGAACCACTTGCAGAATTGAGTGATAATGATTTGTGGGGGAAATTCGTCATCAGACACTGAAAACGATTTTGCGACTTTGCTCAGCGATGTGTGAATTTGCCTCTGTATTTCAAATTTCAGTGTTTTTGGTTTTATTATATTAAATTTATTATTGTTATATTATTATTTTTTATGATTATTAATTAAATTATAATTTATGATTTCGTGTTTCAACTTTTATCCTACCCGGAATGTTTACTAGACTCTTGTTCGGACAGATTTCAGTGAGTTATTCCTAAAAATTACAGCCTACAATAAAAAAAAACTACATATTTCCATGCAAAAAAATGGTACCGATTTCAGCACCAAAAATCGGAAATAATCATACCGCCAGGGAGGTTAAAGAGATGGAGATCTACCTGAACGACATGGAAGAAGTCAAAGATCACCGGGCACAGTGTCGTCCAGTGTCACCGCCTCACACCTGATTTAAACCTCGAATTGTCCTACTACTGTGTCACAATTGTGTGCATTGCATGGCAATCATGGAAAGCAACATATCGCCTCCTCACCACCTGTCAAACACACTCGGATCGCTTTGCAGAGGAGCAGCAGTGCCTGCTGAACTTGTGAGTGAGACCTTAGTTGCATCCGCCAGCGGTAATCCCTACTCCCTTTAATTGCTGAGACAGCAACCAAAGGTGTACACATGCCACAGCCAGAACTACACGTCCTGTTGCTCATTGGTGGGTGCTACTGCCTGTCAATCGAGACCCATTCAAGTAAATGGGGCCATTCTGCAAGTGCCCTGCAGCTGCATGCTTCTCCGGGGTCCAAGGGGTTAAAGCAGGTGGTAAGAAAGCAGCACACCACTGCCCTGCATGGGTCACGCTTGGCAGTTGCTACAAACACCAACCTTGACAGGGCGTAGGAGCCGGCATTATAGAGAAGACATCAACTTATGCGACTTTTGCTCCCTACTACAGCTCCAACTTTACAAGTAGTCCCTCAGCACTGCACTCTATTTGATACTCTGGGATGGTGGGTCAGCAATCCCTGACCGTGATCTACCAGTCACCCCGTGATCCCAGTCACCTGCCCGTGATCTACCAGTCACCTGCCCGTGATCTACCAGTCACCTGCCCGTGATCCAGTACCTGCCCGTAGTCACCTGCCCGTGATCTACCAGTCACCTGACCGTGATCTACCAGTCACCTGGCCAAGATCTACTGGTAGATCACAATCTACTGGTTGCTGACCCCCGGCCTAGACGGAGGGGGACAGATCCCCTTCTGGTGCGGGTTTTTTTTTTTTTCTTTTCCTTAAGCTGGCTGGTTTGGATTGGAAGTAGGCAGGTGTAAACAGACACAAGTCCGTTTACACCCGCCGCTCCATAAAGGTGAGTGGAGGCTTTGATCAGATTCGCCTGAAGAAACTGACAGGCAAAGCTGATTGGACCAATCGCTTGAAGGGGATCTAAAGTCTTGGCTTGAGAAAATTTTATGGAGCTCCTTCTGCACTACAAGGGTCACCTGCTCATTTTGTCTAGGGGAATAGAGTAAGTTGTACACACCTGACCAGTGGGCCTGCAATGTATGCAAGGTCACCAAGGGCCCGCTCACATCCCAAAAAGGACAAAAGCTGCTGGGGGTGGGTGGGGAATAGGGTAAGAAATTCAATGTATTCATCATCTTCCCCCCTCCGAAAAAAATTAGTAGTTGACCCTTGTGTGGAGAGGAGCCCAATGCAAGGGTAGATTCCAAAAAAAAAAAAGTGTTTTTCTTATATAATTTTGCAAATAAATAATCTTTCTTCACAAATCTTGGCGAAATTGTATTCAGCTATCTTTTTAGTATAAAAATAATAACCCAAAATAGTTTATAACCAAAAATTAATTTTTTTCAAAAATGTTTTGTACATTTATTTTTTTTCTGTATTATTTATGGGGTTTTTTTTTTTAACATACCGTCACCCTAGCAGTATAGTGTCACCATAGCGAGACTGTACTACTTGTGGGGGGTGATGATTTTTTTTTTCTTTTTTTTACACCCATATAGGAATCATTTTTCCTTCTCTCTGGCTGCATTCTTGCACCTGGGTGTTTTTGCTGTGCTTTCTGAGTGTTTTTAAAGGACACGTGAATGAAAAACTGCACCAAAAACACTTCTCAGAGGTGTTCTTGAGGCACTTTTCAGGCGTTTTCCATTGATTTCAATGTGAAGAGGCGGTTTTTTTAACCACTTCCAGTCCGGACACTTTTACCCCCTTCCTGTCCAGGCCAATTTTCAGCTTTCAGCACTGTCACACTTTGAATAAAAATTGCGCGGTCATGCAACACTGTACCCATATGAATTTTTTAGCATTTTTTTGAGACAGATAAAACTTTATTTTGGTGGTATTTATTCACCACTGGGTTTTTTTTTGCTATATAAATGAAAAAGTCCAAACATTTTGAAAAAAAAGTGTTTTTCTTCTTATTTATACAGGATTTATATAGCGCCAACAGTTTGCTCAGTGCTTAAGCGCCTTTAAAATTTTGCAAATAAATAATCTTTCTTCATAAATCTTGGCCAAAATGTATTCAACTATCTTTTTAGTAAAAAAAAATAACCCAAATTAGTTTATAACCAAAAATTATAATTTAAAAAAAAAACTTTTTTTTACATTTTTATTTTATTTTTTTCTATTATTATGTGTTTTTTTTTTTTATCATACTGTCACCCTAGCAGTACAATGTCACCATAGTGACACTACTACTTGTGGGGGGTGATGCAGGTTATTTTTTTTTTACACTGATTGCTTTTACACCTGTAAAGGCTGTAAAAGCAATCATTTCTCCCTTCTCTCTGGCTGCATTCTTGCAGCCATTGAGAAATACTGTGAGAGCTGTGATTGGTCAGCGCTTGTCACATGGTACAAAGCTGTTGTGAATAGCCCTGTACTATGTGACCTCTGTGATCATTCACAGATTTCGCAAGTAGTAAGCAATGATGTCAGGAAGTGACATCTTGTTTACTACTGTTCCTGTGATCACTGATTGGCCAATTAGTGATCACATGAATCGGGACCTCACACAGAGGTCCCGTAAAGCGATCAGTGTCCTCCTGACACAGCGGGCACTGGATCGTGGTGCCCCGCACTCCCACTGCTCCCGTCCGGCCCATGTACATAAACGGCATGGTTAACAGACAGGAAGTGACGGGAACTTTCCAAAAATAACAACGACAAAAATAAAAAGTGCTAGAAGGGGATGGCTAGAACATTTAGAATTTTTATTCCCTGTTGCAGAATTTATCTCACTTCCTTAATGATGAAACTGTTGTCAGCAGGACAGGGAGTGGAGGTAAATCCCTCCAACAGATCCCTGGATTCCCGTAAAACCATGACAGGCGTTCTGATCCATCTCCACTCTGTCCAATACTAGAAACAAAGTTTCTGGCTCTACAAACACTTCAACATTATTAAAGGTAAGGTATCGGCTTCTTGGGTTGTGCTTTCATTGGGTCAGTAAACTGACTGATTTGGAACAGTAAAGAATACTCATTGTTTTATAACTGCAAAACAGGAAGCAGGACAGTTCCTTGGATGTGCATGCGCCTACAGTCTCATAGTGTTTTTTGTCTTTTTTTTTTATCTGGATTTTTCTGCAGATTTCCTACCTCTAAAATGTGACGCTTGTGAGCAGATCTTCTGCAAAGACCACATCACATACATCCTTCATAAGTGCAGCTCAGCCTATAAGAAGGTAATCTTGCCACTCCTGGTGGTGTGGGGACCTGTTCACCAACATGTTTTTTTTCTCTCTAATGACTGTGCTTTGTGTGTGTGTCAGGATGTCCAGGTCCCTGTTTGTCCGCTCTGTAACACCCCCATCCCAGTGACTCGAGGACAGACTCCGGATGTTGTAGTTGGGGAACACATTGATCGGGACTGCAAGTCTGATCCAGCCCAGCAGAAGCGAAAGGTGAGGACGTGACACAACTGCGATTGTACAAAGTCAGAATTTCCACCAGCCTTTTTTTTTCATATCAATGATACATTTTAGGGTGTTTAATAATTTTGTTTATTATTCAGATATTCACCAATAAGTGTCAAAAGCAAGGCTGTAAACAGAAAGAACTGATGAAGGTTACGTGTGGAGACTGCCATGGGAACTTCTGTCTCAAACACCGACACCCGCTGGACCATGACTGTACAGGAAAGAGCGCCCCCATCTCCCGAACAGGGTAAGCGTCTACTGCCATAAGTGTCATTTGATAATGTTCTTTTAAAGAGAAGCTTAGGATTAAAAAAAAAAATATTCTCACCTAAGTGGATGCAGCATAGGTCCTCTACCACCTCTAAGACCGAGAATTGAGCGATCACACACTGTCAATCACCGGGTCTCTGCTGTGCCCCTCCAATGCTCACTGGAGCACCAGGCTGTGCAGGGGGCAGAAGCGGCTGGCTCAGGGTCTCAGCGGCATGCTGAGAGGCTGAGCCAGCTGCCAGTCAGGATTCTAAGTTGATCAAGACTTTATTATCGGATTCAATCCAGAATCTGGACAGGCTCTGTGATGACAGCTGACAGTGGTTAAAGCAGAGTTCCGGTCAGTTTTGTGTTTATTAAAAGTCAGCGGCTACAAAAACTATTGCTGCTGACTTTTAATAAACACTCACCTGTCCCAGGGTCCAGCGATGTGCTCACCCACGCCGGCCCTTCTTTGCCTCTTCTCTCCCCGGCATCGGCATACAACTGTGCGCACCAGGCTGTGACAGCTTCACATCTGGGTGCCCACTTCGCATGTGTGAGCCGCGCTGCGCATTCTGATTGGCTCGGCAGTCTTCTGGGACATGTGAAGGTTCCCAGGAGACTGCGGAAGGAAGGAGGGGTGGCAAACTTCTGACTCACTTTGCCGCGGCAAACTGAGCTAGAAGTGGGAGCGGGTACTTGTCAAAAACAAGTATCTGCTCCCCCCCCAAAAGGTGCCAATTATGGGAGGGGAGGAGGCAAACAAGCGGCGCTTCCACTTTTGAGTGGAACTCCGCTTTAACCTCCCTGGCAGTATTCCCAAGTGTAGCTCGGGGTAAAGTTCTGTACCAAAAGCGGTAACCCCGAGCTACACTCGGGCTTACCATGCGGCGCTGCATAGGGAGTCCCTCCAGCACTTACCTTGTCCTTCGCTCCCACGATGTGTCCCCTGCAGCGTCCCCGGCCATCTCCTCCGGCTGATGCCGGCATCCGGCTTCTGTGTTCCGGTCCCTGTGACGTCGGGACGTACGGGCGCCGGCGGGAAATTTTGAAAATTTTAAAAAAATTTAATTTTTTTCAAAATGAATTTTACATAGTAAAACATTGCTGTTTCATTTTGTCCCGAGTGCTTTGTCCTGCGCCCTGCCTGCATTTTGACTGTTCTTTCTGCCTGGAAACTTAGAAAAGTCCATGGCGTCCAAAAAGCGTCCCTTTAGGTCAAAAGCGGTTTTAGACCGGCTAGAGAACAGCGATAGTAAATCAGAACCACTTGCAGAACTGAGTGATAATGATTTGTGGAGAAATTCGTCATCAGACACTGAAAACGATTTTGCGACTTTGCTCAGCGATGTGCGAACTTGGCGCTGTTATATTTCAAATTTCAGTGTTTTTGGTTTGATTATATTATTGAATTAAATGTATTATTATTATATTATTATTATTTTTTATGAATTATTTATTAAATTATAATTTATGATTTCGTGTTTCAAGTTTTATCCTACCCGGGATGTTTACTAGACTCTTGTTCGGACAGATGTCAGTGAGTTATTCCTAAAAATTACAGCCTACAATAAAAAAACTACATATTTCCATGCAAAATAATGGTACCGCTTTTTCAGCACCAAAAATCTGAAATAATCATACCGCCAAGGAGGTTAACATAAGTGAAGAACTAAATGAACTCCTGTGATCCATAGGAAAAGTGGGGTCAATAGAGCTTTGGCCCTACTTATTCTTTAAACTTTATCTGTCCTTTCCATGGGCTGGTCAGGAGGGTCTCCATGGTAGGTCTGATGGCCTACAGGTTTTCATTGCTCTAGGTTTCTACAAGGTCTTATAATATATATTTAAATGTCTGCCTATTATAAATTGCTGAATGATCACTCTTCCTCTGAAATAAACAGATGTGTCAGAAAAATCTTTATTTTCTTAATTTGCTGTTAATCTTTCTAGGCATGCAGCATTGCTTAGAGCTCAGGCTTCTTCTTCTAAAGCCTCCGCTTCCTCCAGCCGTTCAGCGCCAAAACCGATAGCACAGCCTCAGCGAAACAGG